TAAATTAATAGATAAATTAATAAATAAATTAATTAATTAATTAATATTGTATCAGTTCCTATTATTTATGGATATTCACTATTACAAAGATTTCTGTGCTTCTGTGTTTTGTATCAAACAATATTTTCTATCTCTTTTTAATGCCGTGAAGTATTGCTATCTTCAAACTTTCCAACGTCGAAAGTTAATAAAATTGTTTTGCAAATATTTTCTCAGTTTACGAGATTCCTTATTAATGTTAAGTTATATTAATACTTACAAGCGGATTCAATATTTTGTTTTATATTTCAGAGTGTAGTTATAAGCATAATTCAAAGAAATTAAAATATCTTTTTAGAAACGCGCACGAAATAATCGATAAAAATTATCGGAAACGTGTATTAAAACACATTTATATTATATCGCAAAATTAAAGAGCGATGTATGCGTAGAATATTATATAATATATATTGTCAATATATATGTGATAATCATTAAAATGCCGAATAAGGCAATTGAGAGACACTGTAGTGGACAAAGTTAAATACCCATAAAAGACAAGTCAAAGAGCCTAACGAAGGAAAATTGCCCGCGTTAATTTCACTGTAATCGGAAACAACATGGCTTGGAATTTCTTTCGCCCTATTGTCTTTGTTAAATCTTCTCCGACTTGATTATCTGTATTTTCATATCTTTAATAAGCAAGAATATTAGTAATACGTGAGTACTTGAAATGCAGAAATACGGACACGTTGCATTATCAATCTTTTAATCTTTTGTGAATTATTTAAGAATTTTCTTTCGCCTAGAGAAGACAAAAATATCGTATGATGTTATATGTATATTAATCTTTAATATCTAAAAAAGAGTTTGCATAGAATATATGTGAGCATCCCGCTTGTGCAATCTTTTTATGCAAAACATTGTCTCATCTCGCGTGGCGCAAAGATCTTCTTTCTACGCTTAAGATATGATAAATTTAAAATTTATCATCCGGAAAACATTTTAAAAATTTATGAGCTCCTAAAATACATATATTTTTTAAAACAGAAAAGAAGTGTATATTTAAAACGTTATAAGATTAAAGTTGATTCGACAATATTCAAAATGAATATAATATACACGATACGTTTACTTGATGTATTACAAAACTCGAATTTTTCGTTTGTTAAATCAAAAATCATAAAATCTTCAATATATTAACTTATTTAACAAAGTACACGATATATTTAAGATAATACAAAACTCTTTATAATTTTGAAAATTTGATTATTCCCTTAAAAAAAATCGTGAGACGTTGATGTTTTTATAAATTTTATATGTAAAAAACGACAAAAATCTATAACGTCAATTGAAAGATTTATCCATAAATGGCGACATAAAAATTTTTCAAAGTCCTCCTTATTGCGATATCCGATTTTGAGTAATATTGGAAATATTTGCATGCTCACTTTTCGTGATGACGGCTGTATAAGTTATGCATGAGCTGAACCGATGGCGAAAAGCGGAGTTTTCTCGTGTACAAAACCGGGGCATAAGACCGATAATATCAATGTACAATATATTCGTTGCTTATATATATAAAACCGTAATTTGATATAATTAGAATTGATTGTATCGTACTAATTGGCAATTCTGAGTTTGTCCGAAAGTAAGTGGAGCGTGCGAGATATGAAAACTCATTAATATCCAAATTACAATATCATCTCATTAAGAAGAAAAAAATATTACGAAAGTAAAAGAAATTCTTTGTTGTCTCTCTCTCTTTGCGCGTAATTACTAAAAACAATCTCTATAAAATCATTATTCGATTATCGATGCAACTACTTTGCTTCCTCGATAACGCAATGCAACTTTTTCTTGTTGCAAGTTATATCTCCTTGGTTAATTCCCATGATTCTTATTATCGCGCCCCTGCAAACTCTCCTTATCGCGTCCAAAATACAAAACGGATCATTAAAAACGCGTGTGTAATCAGATGGGCCGCGATCTCGAACCGTCTTAGAATGCCGGAAATCGGCGAGGATCAAAGATCCGAAAATATAACGAAACGGTAATAGAATTCTTCCCTCCTCCTCCCTTCCCCCCCCCCTCTCCGCTCTCTTCTAGAACGCTTTCCGTCATTCTCTTGAATGAAACGCGCGCGTTTCAGGACGGCGTTAGCGGTACACGCACTCGTGCGTGCCCCGCACGTGCTGCATACGTAATGCGCATCGACGCGCCGAACAAAGCGAGACGCAAGTGCATATCGCCGAATCACGACGGGTGGGACGACCTAGTGTTAGGCGCCCCTCCCTTATGCACACAGAGACTTCAGAAGGATATCTGAATCATCAATGGGATAAAAAGTTGCGCACAAAGCCATCGCTTTTACTTCCTTGACGAATGGATTGGAAGTAAGCAGTGATATAATGATAAAGGAATACATTAAGAGATCTCGTGGGGTATTTTCCCCGCGTGGGAAATTTGCGTTTTCCCCTCGCAAAAATCCGGGAGATATTTCAGAGATATGTAATTCTTGGCGTATTATAAAGTTTCGAATTTTATAATATTTTTCCTGAATAGACTGCAGATGAGAAGAGTTTAAAAAATTATGGATAACGGGAAAATATATCATATGTTATTGAAACGTCAACAGAACTGAAATTCTACCGCATCTGATTTCGTAGCTATTTATCAAAAATATGCATCTCCGTATAAATATCTCCGTTCATAAAATGGCAATGGATAGCAATAATTATCTGCTATTGTGTCATTCAGGTAATATCACCCCTAAAATTATTGCCATTACTGTCGTAGCTCGAATTACGCGGATTTTACTTGACTACAGATAAAGTGATAATAGATATTTGACACGTTGTGGTCTACGAGCAAAGACGAGTAACGCCCGAGGGCAACGATTGAACGTCGCACAAAAAAGAGATCCTTTCTTCTACAGTATTACGTGTTAATGATACTTGTTGATATCGTTCATTATGGAAAAAAGTCGCTTAAGATTATGATTATAGCAAATCGATAGTTTTATACGTTTTAAGAAAGAGAAGGAGAAAGAGAGAACGTAATCAGTGAATAAATTTATTATTATTAATAATAAGTAAAAATATTAAGTCCGAGGAAAAAAATTCTTAGATTACGCAATATGTGTGCCCCAAATTTCTAAAATTTTATTCGAACAAAAGATTCTTATTTTTTATATGTACTTTAATGTATGATGATGTTTTAGCATCAGCTAATTTTATTTATATAATTATGATACAATCATACTGTGAAAATATTAGTTGAAAAGGATCTGAACCAAATCTTTTGTTAAAATATATTTACGATTATAATTTCATTATTTTAAAAAAATACAGAAATGTGTAATAGTCAAATTTTGATAAATGTATCACTTATATATATATATATATATATATATATATATATATATATGTGGGTTCAAAAAATATATATTTATT